AAATTCAGCTATTAATAAATATGTGTAAGTGTGTTAGATTTATGCCTGAATGTTGCTGTGTGCTACAAAAAAATGTGAATGTGGCACAGTAACATAGTAACAGTGATCACTCATAATCATCTTTGTTGTTCTACATATCATACAGGTCAGCTGTTGTACGTAGTTTCAGGTTCACAGGGTGGAACAGTTTGTAAAGCAGCTTTCCTTCGACTAAATCCAGCACTCCACCTGACTCTCCATCCTCAGAACCCTATGCACTGTGCACTCTCAGACAGAGTTGCCTTACACTAGATTATTTTGGTTAGTAGCGATTCCACTCTCTTCTTCCCGCTCCCTCAATGGGTCTGCAGATTTTTGACTCTCTAATTTGTGCTGACCTCGGTAGAATGTTGGTTATTACTTAAGTGAACTAGTTACATCATTGTGGATTGTAAGGCATTGCAAACCCTGCAACTGCATCATTGCACTTATTTCCACCATTTAATAAATTGTCCCAAAGCCCATCAAATTAAATACATCTATTTTCCAACTGGCTAGTGATCTAGTCTGACTTCTTTACTCCTCCCTGTTTAGGATTTATGTGACTAAAATAAAATTCCCTCCATCCATCACTTATCCCTGCAGACCTAATATTTTTGGTATGTTGATATTCACTAACATTCGTTGCCCTTGTTAAATAAATACATAATGAAATAAAGGCTCATGTGGCTGCGGAAGGACTTTTAATTTTGTAGTATATGGGAAAATGACTCTTGAATCTTTTCCTCTGTGACCTCAATACTTGATTCGAGTGATTAAGCCTATGAACTCATCATAATAATGTTTACTGAATGCAACACGAAGTTCTAGTTACTGAATCAGAGTCAGAAAAGAGAATAAAACAGGATCATTTAATGGCTAATTCCTCATGATGGACAAGTTGCCAACTAATTAGTGTGCTGTATCCTTAAGTTTCACATTTAGCTTTTTTAAGCCAGATGCCAAGTATATGGAGTGGCTCTAATATAGTGACAGGGATGATGCTGACTTTAAGGCCTTTTAATTAGACTTCATTAACTTTGATGTCACAGTAGCACAGAGGTAGTAGAGCTAGCATTTATAATATTAGCAATGACAGTTGAAGAAATAGGGCTTTCTCATTATGGCTATGACATTATAATAAATACAGATATATGATTTTTACTAGCAGGGATGTAGTTGAAGTGATAGCTGTACATGGTGTAACAGTAACAGATGGATAAACATATCTGTATTTATGAATGACATACTAAGGTGTATGATTAGTTAAGCACTTGCTAATAACTTACAAATGCTCAATAGTGTGACATCAATTATAAAGAGCTAGGGTTAGCAGTAGTAGAAGTGATATATATATAATTAACATAGTGGTGGAAGTAGCACAAGTGGCAAGAGTGAAGGCAGTATTAATGGTAGTAATAGTTAAGTTGTATTAGTAACAGCAGTGGATTTAGACTGCTACTGTGGCCATTTGTTCTGTGTGCCATAGGCAGCCTGTTAATCTTACTAAACCGTAGGTAGAGCAGACAAATACATGGCTAATTTTTGTTTTTTCATTTGTATTACAAAATGTTTATCCAAATCATTTAATGTCTCCCTCTTTAATACATACACCTGGATCAATTTGTTTAAACGTTTCCCATCTCTAAAGCTTTTCAGAAGAGCAATATGGAATATGAATAATGTAACAGAAAGTCTGCGTGTGAGGCAGCCCTAATGAATGTGGGTATGCTAAACCTGTTGAGTAAAAGCAAAGCCTCACATACACACACAGCCCTGCACACACAGTTTCACTGTTACATACCATGCATCTCCAGCGCTTTGCATAAACAGGCCCACACATTTCCACCCGCACAAGATCACACATACATAAACACCCCATAAACAAGTGACGTTAGTGTTGAAAGCTGCAGAGCGAAGTTTTGTTTCCCGTCTCCCATTTACTGTAGGAACAGACTAGCACACACACGCACACGCACATGCATGCACACACGCAGCCACACAGACACATATATGAAATATACGGTGGGGGGGTTGTATGATAATTGAGGAGCCTTCTAATTAGAGAGCATACCCTTTACAGCAGCAAGCCCCCATTAGTGCACCCTGTATTTGTTAGTGCATTCACACTGATGGCTGCCCTATTATAAGTACTGTTATTTAACATTCTGTGCAAGGGAAACCGTGGCTCACCAGGGGCTGCGGCGGTCATGATAAACAACGACCGGAAGGGTTCAAGCAAGGGATCTTTGTCTGTGTGTGTGTGTGTGTGTGTGTGTGTGCAGTATGTGGGTATGTCTGTGTGTATGAGTCATCTGCTCCCCAGAGAACACATTAGTTTCATGTTTTTTTTCCCTCTTCAGTTTTACAGAGGTGGATTTCTACCTTTGGTTAGTTTGCCTTGTGACATATTTGTGCATGTGCTGTGGTTCTACCAGCTGAAGTAATATTGCATGCTAACTGTAGTACTACTTCTAGTATAAGTAGTACTAATACAAGTAGTAGATGTACTGTGAGTTCTGGTAGAAGCAGTTGTAGACGTATTACTAGAATGTGTACGAGTTGCAGCAGGAAGTTCTGATAAATTAGCAGCTGTAATCGTAGGTTTTGCTAAAGTAGATTAAAGACAATAATTTATTTTGTCTCGCTTACTAATAAGGGGCCAGAGCATTCCTTGTGAACTACTAAATGACTTGTGGTATACACGACGGCCAGTATTTTATCAAAAATGTGTGACAATAGGTAATTTATCCTAATCTGTTACGTTCTAATTGCATGATAGCATTCAAGTTCACCCTTTTTTAATATTAACTAGTCTGTATACAGACCATCTGTATTGAAGCCAGTATACAGTCTCTCATGTTGAAGAATTTAATCAATATTCTGATACAGTGACCATATAGAGTAGCATTATATAGTTTCTGCAAGACCATTAGTAGTACAAGCAGTAGTACAGATAGACAAGTAGGTGTATAGTTAGAGAAATAGTGGTCAATTTAGTAATAACAGCAGAATGAAAAATAAAAGGTGTAGTATGACTAATCACTGCTGTAGCAATAAGTACGTCTTTGCAGTAATTCTCCTGTTCAAATCAGTGTGGAGGTGTTTCATGTAATCGCTCTAAACTTAGCTCCTACCAAAAGAGGCTAACTCCTGACAGCTATTTGCACTGGGAAAAAGAAAAGGGAGGGTTTTCTCTTATATGGATAATAACTGGAAACATTAGACGCCCCGTTCCCTTAACACTCAAACGGCCAGATGTCTTTTTGTTGCATGAATGAAGCTATACTTAGTCCACATGGCAATGTAAGCAAACACTGGAATCCCAAACTCTGTTGAATTTAAACGTGTGTTTTGAGTCCGTAAGCCATCGCATTTGGATGAATGGGTATAGTCTTTTGGTTTTGTTTTGAATTTTCTCTCGCCTTAAGAAATGGTTGTTCCAATTTACATTTCCAGCTGCAGGGAGTGAGAGTGGGCTGTTTTATACAGACAGTCAGGGGCACAGAGACATGTTTTTCCTACTTGGGTTTCTTTCAGCAGCACATAAACACCGAAGCAGCGCAGATATATCGAATATCACGCTTGTCTTTCACCAATTAGTTTGTCCCTTTTTGCCCCTCTCCCTCTTCCCACCCTCCCTCTTTTGCCCAACCCCCACCCCACCTATTCATCATGTTGATGGCTCACTTGGTGCTCGTCTAATGTTCAACTGCATATTTTATACAGAATTGTCGCAACCCAAAAGGACCGTCTTCCCTCAGGCCTGATTTTTCTGTTTGTTAATTAGCTGAAAGACAAGCATGAAAAATAGTCTGTTTTTATTTCCCCAGTGCAATGTTTTGATGGAGTCGGACGTTAATGTAGAGCCCTGGTTGTCAGGGAGTTATGAGGAGTTTGTAACAGCTTTAATTTCTCTTTATGATCGTCTTTGGTCTATTCATTTGTGTGTGTGTGTGTGTGGTGTGTGTGTGTGCTGATAGCAGCTCCAGTCCTAAAGCTTTTATATTTTCAAACTATGCATGCCGTTCATCTCTTATTTCTCCCTTTATCTGCTTGGACAGGTTACAGTTTTTTTACAGTAATGGTAAAAGGTAGGGATGCACCGATACCGATACTGGTATCCGATACCGATACTGGTATCGGGTATCGGGGCCGATACTGTAAAATGTGTGTGTACTCATACTCGTAAAAGTTAACCGATACCATGAACCGATACCAACTTATTTCATTAATCAGAGGGTGGCTTGTCATTTCTGTTGTAGTTTTTTAGATTGGCCACTAGGGGGCCAATTATTATTTTATTTATTATTTATTTTATAATTTTTTATATTTTATTATTTATTTAATAATAATTATTTTGTTTGTTTGTTTACAATATGAGTTTATTTTATTCGCAAACCTAATTATATTTATTTTATTCCAAACAGAAGTGTTTATTTATTATTCTGAAAGCTCGAGACAGTGCCAATAGTTCAGTGATATTTTGTTAAATTACAATGTGGAGACTGCAATAATTTAACAGAAGTGCTTATTTTTCACTTGAAATTTTTTTGTGGTCATTTTTATTAAGATTTTATTTTTTATCGGCAGAGAATAAAATAAAACCTGTCTTCCAATTCATTGCATTTGTGTGTGTGTGTGTGTGTGTGTGTGTGTGTGTGTGTGTGTGTGTGTGTGTGGTAGAAGTATCGGTTTTTGTACTCTGTATCGGCAAGTACTCAGATCCAAGTATCGGTATCGTATCGGTTTGAAAAAATTGGTATCGTTGCATCCAAAAGGTCACATGCATGACCCATGGCACAATCCTATAGGGCACAAAATAGTATCTGCAAATGTTTAGTGTCCTTTACGAAGCGTATTTTTTTGACTCTCATAAGACACAGAATCATATTTATTGCCTTGAAGAACTGAGTTGTTTAGCTTTCAGTTAAGATGCTTTTGAGCTCAATCAGCAGTCGTATTAATAATGACGATCCAACAATGATGCAAACGACAAAAACAAAATGATCAGTCCTTCAAAACTACTTGAGCGATTCAGTTAGGTGATAGTGGCAGATTCATTAGTCTTAATGATATGCACACTGATTGCAAGACCATTTAACAAAACAGAAATAGATTATTGTCAGTAGCCCGCCTCTGTGCTCAAGTCATTGTTCCCTTCATCTTAATCTTTGTGTTACTTTTTTCCTTTCAACTTATGTAAACTGGAGACTGTTTCATGTTTTAATTAAATGTACAGTTCAACATCTCAGCAGTGACTTTTTTGGAGAAATAGACTGATGCTAGTATCATGTTTGTGATATTTTAACATTAAAAAAGCTGAAGCTGGTGAACTGGATGGATCAATAACTGGATGGTCTGAGGCGGGACCTTTGCAATATTAAGCTGATGGTGGTTGATACATTTTATATCTCTGCAGGTCAGAGGTGTTTCAGCATTCACCGCAGTGACTCTGTCTGTTTGTAATCACAGCCAGGTTGTAGTATTGGGTGCGAATCCTGTACAGGCCTATACTAAAAGCTTTCCTCACAGATTTAAACTATTCAGCTCAATTTAATTTATTGAGAGCGAAATGAAAACAACAGTTGCCTCAAGGCTCTTTATATTGTAAGGTCAACATCCTACAATAATACAAAGAAAACAGAGAACACCCAACAACCAGACAATCACAGTGCGTTGGTGACAGCAGGAAGGAAAAACTGCCTTTTGACAGGAACAAACCTCTTTGGGTTGAGGGGAGGAAGACAGGACAAAGACACGCTGTGGAAGAGAGCAATACTGAGATCAGTGGTCAGTAAGAATAGAGAAACTCCATATAAATGCTGGTCTGTTCAATTTCATTCTTAAAAAGTCTTGTTTCTTGCCTACAGATTTGCCGGTAGGCACTCATCTCTTTGTATCTCTTAGCATATACTACTGTCACAAATCTGTTGTACTGCTCCATTGAACAAGGATTTGACTGGCTGAAGATCTCATTTATCCAGATCTTCATCCAGGCAAATCCTCCTGACCTCCCGCTCTCCGGTGTCTCATCTTCTGATAGGTGGATGACCTCAAGGCCAAGCTGGCTGCTCAGGAAGTGGAACTCAAGCAGAAGAATGAGGATGCTGACAAGCTTATACAGGCAAGAACATATATAACACCAGCACCTCAAGAAAAACAAAACAAAACACGTATCTGTGTTTTGGGGCATATTTCTCTGGTAGTGCTTAAAGAAATGAAGTATGATGTTAAATAAATCTTAATTAAGCACTAGGCTGTCATATCAGAAGCAGCGTCCCTATCTATGTGATGGATTTCTAGTCTTGGCTGGAACTGCTCAGTAAAATATTAGATATTCAGAGAAAGTTTGGCTTAAACCTCAGTGTCAAATTAGTCGGAAGAAAAAACGCCAGCATTTTGTTTCTCAGAGCTTATACCTTGGAATTTTGATTTGTCTTTTTACAGTTTAAAATACCAGTTTTGCTTAATTAAAGAGTAGTTGTGTTTATTAAGCCACTTTACATGTTAACCTGTGTGCTGGCCCCAGGAGGTTGGGATAGAAACTGAGAAGGTGTCCAAAGAGAAGGCGGTGGCTGATGAAGAAGAAAAAAAAGTGGCTGCCATTGCTGTGGTAGTCAGCGGCAAACAGAGAGACTGTGAAGAAGACTTAGCTAAAGCCGAACCAGCCCTGCTTGCTGCTCAGGATGCCCTTAACACTCTCAATAAGGTCAGTTACTCTCTTGTCCCCTGCTGTAACTTATTGATTTACTTCATACTTTATACTTTTCTTGCTTGGTTTTGATTTCATTTTCCCAGCTTCAGTGGTGCACACAAGCCTTGAATTGTATAGGAGATTATTTAGCCATAGGATTTAGCCAGGTCTTCACCAAAATAATGTCTTCTCTGTGTTCTGCAGACATTTTACTTTATCCTTGCATCCCATGTAGGTTTATGAGCATCCTGGGGGATATTCAAAAACACCCTCTGTGTTTAAAGGTGCTCTCTGTTCAAACAAGCAGAACAGACAGTTCAATCACTGCTTAGAGCTCTCTAAAGATGCCCTAATTAGAATTCTCTGTTGTCTTCTCAGAGTCAGCACAGGTTCTTCTGTCTTTATTCTAATCCTTTCCACTTTCTCTCTTTTCTCCCCAGAAGACCACAGACGAGTACTTTTATACAAACTCAATTCGATCACAGCTTTCATTTTTTATTAACGACTCTGTCTGTCTTCCCTACATCAGAACAACTTGACTGAGCTGAAGTCATTTGGCTCTCCAGTGGCAGCAGTGACCAACATCACAGCAGCAGTCATGGTCCTGATGGCACCTGGTGGCAAAGTCCCAAAGGATCGCAGCTGGAAGGCTGCAAAGGTAATGATGGCCAAAGTGGACACATTCCTGGACTCTTTGATTAACTTCAACAAGGAAAAGATCCCAGAGGCTTGCCTTAAGGCCATTCAGCCTTACCTGCAGGTAAGTGTTCAATTAGCCCTTACTCATTGAAGTCCTTGCTAACACTGTTCAGAGTGCAATGTCTGCCGCATGGCAAGCTCAACTAATAAGTCATAAATTTAGTAGGGGTGTGATTATAATGACAATGGCACATTATGGCTGCCAAGTGTTGAAATGACAGAGAGAGAAAATCAGCTAGTAAATTAAGCATTACAAATTTAACAGCCGTCCTGATGATGAAGTTCAGTGAAGCAAACATGAGGAATGTCAGTGTGGCCAATAAAGGTAAAGTGCAGCTTAAGTTCACTATGTAGGAACTGTTGAACTGAAATTAATGTCTGTACTTTATGAAAAAAATAATTATTTTGGAAAAACAGGTAAAATAGTTCAAACTGAGAAAAACCATGACCTTAAGCTAGCTAGCTCAAACTTGTTGCTAGCTTCACTGGATCAGCTCTCTAAAGTTGGCTAATGTTGTGTCTAAAAATACACAGAAGTTCATTTCCAACTGCCTGTGCACCAAATGATTTTACTTTCATTATCACAGATTAGCTTTTGACACTGTGTGTTTGACAATCCAGTAATATCCTGTATCCTTTAGCCAAAATAGCTGCTGCAGATCAAATTACACAGGATAACATGCAAGGACTGTGCTAAAGGAATATAATAAACAAAAATATGTCAGCATTCGTTTTGCAATAACAAACTAATTTGTAAATTGATATTCATTCTTGGTGTACATTTAATTGACAGAGGTAGCAGCTAGAGGTGGGAATCACCATACATCCCACGATACGATATTATCACAATACTTAACGCACGATACGATATTATTGCAATTTACATACTACACAGCATCGATTTTTCCCCCACCCCTAGTATCAGCTATATCAAAAGATTTTCCAAGAAAAGAAACAGCTAGCTATATCCTTGTTAGCCTCTCATGCTCATGAGTTGGATCATGAATTTTTTTTACCATCATTACCACGTAGTTGCTGATGAATTATTTCAGGCCCAAACTGATGTCGATGTAGAACTGTGTATCTTCGTCTGTATGTTTTGCAGACAAAGTTACAAAAGTTAAGCTAGCTAATGTATGTGAGAAGCCTGCTAATGTCCAAGCGTTGTAAATCATTTATTACTCTCTCTCACTTCACATCAGCAACAGTGTTAAGCCTGCAACTTTACCACACAGCTCTCCTGACGTTATTACACAGAAAGACATTTTATGCTGCATTTTAACCATAATTTAATATGAATTTTATGTTATCATTTTCAGGATATTTGCTGACAGCCTAGAAATTATTAACACATTTTGAATTTGGAAGCAGGATGTGACAGCATGTGTATCTTTTTCTCCAGGATCCAGAATTCCAGCCAGATCTGGTGGCATCCAAGTCATATGCAGCAGCGGGTCTGTGCTCCTGGGTTTTAAACATCGTCAAGTTCTACGAGGTTTACTGCGAGGTGGAGCCGAAGCGTCAGGCTCTAAGCAAGGCCAATGCAGAGCTGGCGGCTGCACAAGAGAAGCTCGCCGCCATCAAAAGCAAAATCAATGTAAGCCACTGCACTGAACTGAGACTACAGGAAATGAAAAGTTTATTTGTTGCCTGACAAGTATCTGTTTCAAAAGAAGACAATTTCAATATCTAAAATCCAGAGGATATATTCTTTGAAATTGCATTACCATTTTATTAAAGAAAGGAGTACTCTTCTTTGAAGGCATGTTCTTGTCTTCTGCCTTATCATTTCTTTGACACAAACGCAGTGACACGCGCAGAAAAGTATTAAAACTTAAAAGAGACTGAGAGTTGAAAAATGACTTATAAAAGTCAGAAATCCTCAGCACCTCACTATAAAAGATTCGTGAGACATCAGTGAGGATCAACAACTCCATCACCTGAAGATATGCAGTTATAATAAGATTTTGGTGCTGCAGAAATAAAATAGAAACAACTGGAAGCCATAAGCAAAAGTTCAGAATTATTTTTCCAACGCTTGAGTGACAGTTGACACATACGTTCTTCCAGCAATGATCTACCAACAGCATTTCATCAATACAAAGCTGTTGCAAGTGCTTTTAAAAGCTTTTGCAGTTAATTAATCTAAAACCAAATCTGTCAGCCTGAAAGCCGTATTGATAAAAGCAGCTGTAAATAATTGTTTCTCAGTGGCGTTTGACATTCAGCGCATCAGACAGCCCCAGCAGAGCACTGGGTTCGGTACGCTGCAGCAGCTTTTGCTGCTTACATCAAAACCTGCAGAGTGCAGAGTGACGACTATTAATAAGATCCAGCGTGACTTCTCGCTGTCATTTTTCAAGCCCTCAGTCAGATCGCTTGAGTGGAGAGTGTGTTCGGAGCCAAGGGGAATTAGCAATCCTCAAACTAATCTACTGAACCTGTGTGCCTCTCCACCGATTAATCCTGTTTGTCCTTGCGCTAATTGCTTCCATATGCCAAATAAATCCATAGTGGGACTAATGATAAGTTTTACCCAACTTTCTACACACTTCTAAGTTTCTTTCATAGAAACACTTTGACTGTCTTTAATCTCTGTCTCTTAGGATTCGTTATGACCACACTGTACTTTAACAAGTGCCAATTTTTTCTCTGTTTTTGTGTGCGTGTGTGTTTGTGGCCTATCAGCACCTTAATGAGAACCTGGCCAAGCTCACAGCCAAGTTTGAGAAGGCCACTGCAGACAAGCTCAAGTGCCAACAGGAAGCAGAATCAACCGCGCACACCATTTCCCTGGCTAACCGTCTGGTGAGGAGAGCAGAGACTCAGCTAGCCACTACCACAGACAAATACACTCTGTTTCCTGTCACAGCATGCTTACATAGTTACAGATGTGTGCACACTGCAATACTGCATTTTAAATCTGATGTTGGTTTTGTCTTATCTTTGATTTAGACTAAGAGACTTTTAATCAATTAAGCATTATTTGTGTCATATTTTTTATTTTGAGGTTACAACTGTCAGCACTTTTCTTGCTGGGTACCTGTGTTACCGGTTCTTTCTTGTCTGTGGTGTAGGCCAGATTTTATGCCTAACACACATAAAATGATATCAGAAGCGCTGACTGAAGGAGCCAGCCACATCCTCTTCACCATCAATTATCGGGAGGAAATAGATTTAAAATGAAATAAAAGAAATGACAGGTGGCGCGCAATGTCTATATCAAAAGTTTCTTAATCTGATAATACAATCAAAAGAGGAGCTGATGCCATATGAGATAGCACAGAAGCTATTTGGGCCAGAAATGAATGAAGGCCTGAAAGTTTTGCTATTTCATGCTGTAGTTATTCTGCCAACTGCATATACAGACTTGGGGAAGAAATAGGATTGCTACAGAGTACATGCAGAGTATTAATGTCATGAATTTCAATTTATTTGTGACTTTTTGTGCCGTTTTATGATTTAATAATAATACATGATTGACAGAAATCCCCATTGTGGTCTCACTGGTATAAATAAATGGAAAAGATATGTTACTTTTTCAGACAACCAACATCATCAAGGTCGTAAATATTTAACAAAATAAGATTAAAAACTAGATTTTTGTTTTCCCCAAGATAACTAACATAAAATCAAATTATACAGAAATGTTTTGAGTGTCTCAGTTGGTGATCCTGTTTCTCAAAAGAATCACTTTGATCAGAACTTGAGCAGAGATGAAAATCTGTCTTGGAAGCCTGACCCTGCTTCCTGGGCCCAAACAAAGGAGACTTTTGAGGAGAAGTCTGGCAAGGGTGTGGCTTTAGTCACATATAAAGCATCGGCAAAAGTTGGAGTGGGGCAATCAGCTACTGCATTGATTTTCTTTGGGTCAGCCTTCATCTGTCCACCTTCGCTGACGTACCCTCGGAAGGTTACAGATGGAACTCAAAATCACACTTTTTTGTGATAACAATGAGGCTTTGAAGCACTCAAGAGACTTGTCAGCGATGCTCTCTAATGGTTTTGAACAGATGGAAACCCATAAAGCTCTCTGTGCTCTTGTGCCACTGTTCTGGAGCTAAACTGAAGGCCACATGAAATTTAAAGGTCTGTAGCAAATTGGTGAATTCTG